TGGGGAGAATGGGGAGGGTCTTGCGGTATTTTTGGGGGATACTAGGGGAGATGGTGAATTGTTGTTGTATTTGAAAAGATAAAGAGGGTTCTTGGGGCCGGAAGGGAGGAGTACAAAAAGAGAGCTTCAGAAATGATTTTTTTCAATACAATTGGGTAATAGACAAGAAATATGGATATAAATATTGCTGAATATTAATAATCATCCAAGAAACATGATACTGATTCGTCATTGGAAATTCGAGAAGCTAAGGTCACAGGATATATAGGGAATCATCAATCGCCTGGAGACATCTAATATTTAATCAGATATTCATTGATAAATCTAATATTCCGTATCTCCTGATCAAATGGATTGATTTCAATGAATCGGTGCTTATTGCAAACTTTGGAAAGATACGGAATATTGGAAAGAAGTAAATCATTTTGTTTTTTTGGTAGTTTGATATTGAAATGGTTTATTTAGTTCTTCAACGTAACATTATGGATGACAGGATTGGGAGATTGGATGGAGCAGGTGAACAGTTTAAAGATGATTTCTAGTGTAGCAGATTTGCTGAATATTTTTTCGGATTTCGAAGCAGCTCCGAGTAGATATTTTTTGGGTTACCTTGAATTTATTCTTGTTCAAAGAAAAATATTTTTTTCCAAGTTTTTTTTTATTGAGAAATATTGGTCGTCATTAATAAATCATTCCACAGTTTGTGGAAATTTAAGAAGACGAATAATATTTTTACAATACTGTTTCAATTTTTTTAATCGTATTATTATTAGCGTTACAGAGAGCAAGATAAATGTTGAATTAGCATAAACGATTTTTTTTATTCTTGAGAATTCAGTACACTAAATCATGGGAAAATCTCTTGACATGTTTCTCCAAAACTAACTGCACTATTTTTTCAAATATTTTGATTTCAAAATCTCCATTTTCCTCTTCGTACAGAATTTGATTGAATTTGAAACTTGAATTGTTTCACTGTCTCAGCAACTCAACATTGATTTATTGATGAATGATGAATTTGAAACAATTCCGATGACCCCCCGACCTCTCATAATCATTGACTCCTCACTACCTCACAAAACAAATCACGTAAAATACATGCAAATCCCTCGAACTATTTTTCTTCACACCCACAAGTGTCCGGGCCCCTCGAAACAACTCATGATTGATCACCACCAAAAAAATTTATATATTATTCCCACCGTGAATGTTATGGATACGACTTTATAATTATCGGTTCGATAAGAAATTGAGTCAACTGCACGAGGCAAATTCTTGCCACACTCAGAAAGGCTCACGATTTATGTGCTAGTTCAGCAGGCAGGAGAGAATGAGACTTGTAAAACAAGACATTCTCTACTTTATCGGCATTTTATCGGAGGAATCCGGTTTGACCCCTTAACGCCACCGAGCGTATTACTGAGGATAGTAAGCAGAGCATTCTTGATCCTGTGTTCGTTATTGTTCTGGTATTTCAAGGCCGAATAATCTCATGAGGGTAGAGGAACTTAGGATTTCAACCTAGAAAAATGAAGTGATGTTGAATTTTGGAAATTATTCATTCGTTTTTTATGAATTGGTTCCTTAAATTGGGGAGGGTCTATTGATGTTGATTTATTGTTGATGTTGAATTCAATGCGAGATTTTTTGATAATTTTACATTTAAAAAATCTTGTTTTCGGCTCAGACGCCAACGCCACACGAGTTAAAAAACCCATTGCAACAGCTCGGAAAAATACTATTTAGATTCTAGAAAAATGAAGGTTAGAAAACATGGTTTCTAGAATGAAGAAACTTGTTTCTAAATGTTAGACACTTTTTGCTTTCGAATGGAAGCATTGTATTCGTCGCATTTTGACATTCTCTAATTTTGCCTGAAAATGATGTGAAATGTTATGAAATGTGAACAAATGACGTTTTTAAAAATTTCTGTAGTCCGGGTTTGATAGTTCCGTTTGTGGGTTACCACTTTTTAGAAAATATCACATTAACACGGGAAAATTCATTGATGTGGATGTGAAATTTTCACCCATAGTAGGTACTATTAAGTTGAAGTTCGGTGCACAATTTCAGCCCGAATCGGTCCAGTAGTTCCTGAGATATTCAACTTCCCGAGTGGAAATTCTGCTCAGGTCTCGATCAGAAACTGATCAAGTCCGATCCGAAATTCTGATCAGGCATGTTACGCCTCCACCTTATGTTTTTCCACTAGGGTTTCTCCACATACCATCATTAGGCATTAATTAAATTTAATTTTTTGAGAGAAAAAGTTAGTAACTTCCTAGTCGGGAATCGAACCCGGGACCTCCCAATATCGCGTCGGGTGCTCTTACCATCTGAGCTACCAGGACACTTACCAATTTCACTCTCAAATTGACTCATACCCGAGTGGAAATTCTGTTCAGGTCTCGATCAGAAACTGATCAAGTCCGATCCGAAATCCTGATCAGGCATGTTACGCCTCCACCTTGTTTTTCCACTAGGGTTTTTGTATAAAACTGTTTTGGTCAATATCTCGAAAACTATTTGACCGATTTCATTTTGTTTTCAAAATACTCGTCTCGATGTCTTCTATCTAGATCATTCAAAATATATCTACACGTTCATACAAAGCTTTGGAAATATTTCCTATTTTGTATGTTTTGCCTAAATTCCTTGTACACGCAATAACTCAAAATAAAATCGAGATAAGAAAGCAGAATTCAATAACCCAAGATGATAATCGTTGCTTATTTACGTTGAGGCTCCATTAGACTGGAACCTATTGATAAAAAAACATTCACGCAAAACACACTCCCTGTCCCTGTGTTTGTGATATACATCGAAACCATTTCAAACTCTCGAGAATAGTATATTTTTAACAGGTAAAATAAAGAAGTCGTGCCGAGATGCGGAATTACACGAAGCGGGAGGGAAATCTGTACTATGTGCTCGCCGGGGGGAAATAGTATATTATGCCACCAGGCGATAAAAGTATTATCTGGCGAATGTGGATCGCCTTCGGCTCGGATTATAATCACATTCGCCAGATAATGCTTTTATCGCCGTGTGGCATACAGTATTTTATGTCGTTGGGCCCGAAAACCGCGATCTAACCGACCGAAGCGAGGTTAGAATCGCGGTTTTCTCGGGCCCAACGACATAATATTCTATTCCCTACCTAGGGAGGGAAAATAAAGTAGTCATCCCCACGTGCAGAATTGCCACCTCAACCGAAGGCGAGGGTGGTAAGCACGTGGTAAGGACCCTTTATTTAACCTCCCGTTGTCAGGACGTTATTTTCCGTCACGGCGCAGGCGCAAAGCCTGATTTCCTTCCCGCGAAGCGGGAAAATTCTTAGTGAAACAAATGGATAGTCCAGACCGGGATTTGAACCCGGGGCATTCCCATTATGCATCGGGTGCTCTTCCAACTGAGTTATCCGGCTCTTAGCTATTTCAAATTTCTGGTACATATTCCGGTCTTCAACATAAAAGGTAATTCTACAGAAAATGTGCATTTTGCGCCCTCTGTAACGGAAAAGATATTGGTTTCGAATCGGCAAGCAGATTTTTTTTGGTGACATTATTGATACATGTGTATAAAAATACAGCTGCGTGAAACACACATGTGTATAAAAATACAACTGCGTGAAACACCCAGGTGTATAAAAATACAACTGCGTGAAACACACATGTGTATAAAAATACAACTGCGTGAAACACACCGGTGTATAAAAATGCAACTGCGTGAAACACACAGGTGTATAAAAATGCAACTGCGTAAAACACACAGGTGTATAAAAATACAACTGCGTGAAACACACTTGTGTATAAAAATGCAACTGCGTGAAACACTCAGGTGTATAAAAATACAACTGCGTGAAACACACAGGTGTATAAAAATACAACTGCGTGAAACACAGGCGTATAAAAATGCAACTGCGTGAAATACACAGTAGTATAAAACTTCAACTGCGTGAAATACACAGTAGTATGAAACTTCAACTGCGTGAAATACACAGCAGTATGAAACTTCAACTGCGTGAAATACACAGCGGTATAAAAATACAACTGCGTGAAATACACAGTAGTATAAAACTTCAACTGCGTGAAATACACACTAGTGTGAAACTTCAACTGCGTGAAATATACAGCAGTATGAAAATTCGGCTGCGTGAAACACAAACTTCACGCATGCGTGGAGTGTATGGAGTGTACGGGAGTAACTCACGCAATGGTGCGAATAGTCACGGCCATATTTAATCTGAACGGGATTAGTGTTTCCATTTTTTTTTAATAGGATTAGTACAGATCCATTCGGAAGTTTACTGCCAATGGAATTGGTAGACATGAAAAAAAGAAAAAGAGTTATAACACAAAAAGAAACTGTCAGATGGCTTCTACCAAAAAGGCTCCAACCCCTGCTTGTTTTTCCATTTTATATTATGACACTCATTCTTTCACCTTTATATTTTGACCTTCTTTTTTCCTGACTCTTATTTTCCGACTTTTTGTTTTGACCCTCACTTTTTGAACTTGATGCTCTGACACTTAGTACCTGACTCGTGTATTACGCTTAATCCTCGATTACTCGCGCTCGGCCGCCAGCCTTCATCCGCCACATGATTAGCGCA